GATGCTGCTCGGTCAGGAGAGAGAAAGCCTCACGGCCACCATTCCTCCCATCTTCTCCATCGGCAGCGTCAGCGTCATCATCAGCAGCAGCAGCAGCAGCAGCAGCAACAGCGGGCGACGCGCACGTCCTCTGCCGTGTCAGCCGCAGGGGTGGCGGTACCAGTAGATTCAAATTCTTCTCATTGCGATTGCAGCGGTCATTCCCTTGGTCGACATCTGCTCCACCAGTCTCGAGAATAGTAGGAGGAGGAGGAGTGTTCTTCCTGTCACATGGCAATGGATCGGAGAACCCTCGACGTGGCCCGAGACTCTGACGTCTGCGCCGCCGGGACTTGAGATCGTCGCTGGTGTCATGATGGTCGTCGCCGTCTTGTATCCCGGTGGCAAAGGGAAGCTCGGGAAGCGGGCGAAGCGAAGACATCCAATATCGGACAGGGTCTGAAGAAGCGAGTCCAGCTCTCGAGTAGTCGCTCCGTAAGCCCTTTGGTTCTTTTACGCCCCTCGCGCTCTCATCGCAAGGGACGTTCGTCGTGGTGAATCGCTCAAGTGTCTCGGTCAGAGAGAGCGGCAGTGCCATATGCCCGTCATCATCATCGTCGTCGTCGTCGTCATCATCATCATCATTTTCTTCGAATCCTTCTTCCTCGTTGTCGTCCTCGATAACAGACATGCCACCCGCCAATTTACAGCCAGCGCTTCCCTCGCCATTGCTCTCACAGTACAGACTCCTGTCGTCGTCTCGACCCGTGTCTGACGGACTGTTGCTGAACTGCTCCTCGACCCATTTCCTGGGAATGACTTTACTCCATCCATCCGGGTCGATTCGAGCAAATGCCACACATCTCTTGTCCGGGTCCAGATCGGCCCAAGAACGCGGCGTGATGTGGTGTTCGCACTGTGCGTTTGGAGGAGGGGCCCGCCCAGCGTTCGAAATTGACGGCTGCTCGGCCTTCCGGGGACCCAGTGACCCGTCGCGTGATGGGTACGGGTCTGTATGAGACGAGGTCGGGAAGTGCAAGGAGTCCGGTCGAAGAGGGACTGGCGGACTGATTCTCAACTTGGGTTTCCTCGCCACGGTTGGATTCGATGACCACCAGCGAGACTCGGCCTCTCTGCGAGATACATATGTCGCTGTCGGGTGCTCATCCTGCTGTCTCTTGGATCGGAACAGGGACCACGACAAGAGCGAATTCTTCCGCTGCCGGTTCTGTGCTGGGTAGTGGCGGAGATCAGCTGTCGACGTCTGTGATGGTTGCTTCTCACCGGCAACGCCCCAGCTCGAGGACGAATATTCTGTGACCGGCGTCGCCTCCGAGCTCTTGCAGTATTGTGTCTGTGAGATCCACGACGCCGGCGTCCCCGGCGGGCTCGATGATGTCTCGCTGAACCTGCTCCGGTAATCCCGAGTCGAAGAGAGATCCATCATTGTACAAAGTCAGGGGATCTGAAAGGGTAAGTATCCAAATCCAGATCCATAACGTACCAAGGTCGAGCTCTCGGGTTTGACAGATCGATTTGGTGAATTCCGTTTGTCTGAACAGAGTCAGAGCAGAGCAGTCAAACGACACGAGGCACGAGGTTGAGAAACGGTTGTGGTTGACATTGCCTTCACCAACTAGAGTATCACTCGTTCGAGAACTTCTAGAAGAATGCCTCATGACATGTAGACAGCTCGGTGACACGTCAGCAGCCCCAAACAGTCCTATCAGCCCAGCATTCGAAACACGATGTGCCATCATTTGAGCAGAAGCCATATTTGCACAGACTGTATATCATGCTCATGGCACATGGGCTCGCTGTAGGTTAAGGCTGGTACACGAGCAAGGCACTGAACCCATCACCAAAATTCTTTCCGATAGAGAAGCTCCTGCTTTGACTTACCTATATGAAGCCAAGTTTGAGCATTGAGAGCATGGAGCTATGTTGTTGTTTGCTTGTTGCCAGCTCTGTCAAACGAAAGGAGGAAAAATGACGTCCGTTTGAAAGGGTAGAACAGGCTGCATAAGTGCGATTGTTCGCAGAATAACTTCCTTATATTATATCTAACCTCCACCTGTGACGAGATAGATGCATGGTTCATTCGCAACGTCACAGTTTTGACTTGAGCCACGATTTGATGGCCTTTCCTTGCTCCGTCTCGGCCGTGTCGCCAAATCGCAAGTGAATAATGGGAGCAATGTGTGCCTCGTTCGCACCGACCACGTGGGTTATAGAGTCCGGGTTGACGGACTTGAGAGTTCAGCATTAGCAGATTTCCCCCCTGAAGGACCCCTGAAGGAGTCGAGCAAACGGCCCTCCAACCACCGAGACGAGAGGAAAAGGAGGGAAGAATCAACGCACCTTGTACTTCTCCACCCATTGGGCAATCGAGTCGATCAGGATCTCGTTCCCACCACACACCACCAGGAGATTCTCAACTTTGGCGTCTTTCCACCACTCTGTCGGAGCATTGAGCGGCTCAGCAAAGGGCGTTGACGGTTTCCCTGCCAGGTAGTCCTCGGACCACTTTCGACCAGCGTATTGGCTGACAATGTCCTTGTGGCGGTTCCTTCTCTCGCTCTCCCAGTCAAGATTGAAGCTGACCCACGGTGCCACTGCCACAATGCCCTTGAGTTTCTCACCATCGGCCAGGTTGAGTTCCGGGAATTCAGAAGATGGATGCATGATTTGTGATAGCACCCCGAGGCACATGTTAGCACCGGCGGAATCGCCCGCAAGGAGAACCTCGGACGCCGGGCGATTCAAGTCTTCCAAGACGTATTTGACGGCTTCGACGGCTTCATAGATTGGCTTTGGAAAGGTGGCGTGTGGCACGAGCGAGTACTCGAGGAACAAGAACGCAATTGAGATGTCGTCGCCCTTGAGGTCATTCTGAACGCTGCTCCAGAATTGGAGATGGGTGTCGTCACCATCGAGCGAGAAGCCGCCTCCTGCGGTGGAATCAGTCACATAATCAGAAATGGCAACAATGACAAGACGCTTACCGTGGAAATACACACAGACGTATTTGGCGGTCTTTGGATCACCCACCCAGAACGCCTTGCATCCGGACTTTAGAGTCACAAACTCTGGCTGGACGTGAGCGCCCTTACACCACTTCTCATAAATTTTTGAAAACGGCGCGCCTAGATACCTGCCACTTGTGAGCCGAGCCTGGGGCCTCTGATCGGGGCCACTTACTGCAATTGAAGCGTGGTGAACCTTTTCACCATCTGCCCACCTCAGTGATAGTCCACGAACAGAGGGTATCACCAGCCTACCGTTCGCACGAGGGTGAAAGAGATATGCTGCCCATAGGTATGAGCTCCTGACTCGCCGCGGAATGGGGCGATGGCCGCCGTATATAGAGCTGTCCCGACTGGTACAACATCAGCTGAAATAGGACAGTGAACTCTCGTGGGAAGATCTTACTCAGTGACAGTAGTCCCGGGAATATGTCCAGCTTCTCCAGGAAAGAGACCTGATGTACAGGAGCAGAAAGCGCTTGGTCGGCGCTAGGAGGGGCTGCCATGTTGGAGTTGGGTATAATACAATCGGTCAACTATTTGGGTCCCAGGAGTTCAAGCTCTGCAGTTGTCCGCGATCTTGGATGGGCAAGGCGGTTGATATATGTGATATGTGAGGACAGGGTGTATTGCGTATCGGTGAGGATACGACTCTAATTCGGATTAGTCGATGTCAGGTCTGACAGTGTAGGGGAGTGAAAATACCAGTCAGCACAACGGAACGATAAGCAATAACCGATGCTTTCCCAGGCACGCAGGCTCTTCTTACTCGCACAAGTGTTGGGTGTCGACACATTCAAAGGATGTAGGAACAAATACGGGGTGCGTCGTAAGGAGAGCCGGTCTTACTCATGTACTTGAAGAGGGAAGCAATCTGTGAGAATTAGCATCAAGATCACCATGGACGTGATAAGGCCATTTGTGAGCTGTCGGCGTGCGCAAGTGCATCCCACTAAGAACTAAGCCCGTGAGATCAATAGCTCGTCGCCGTCAAACACCGCAGCCTTTGACGGCGATGGGTAGTTGCCGAGGCATATACCAAAACAGGTATAGCCTATATTGGGGTGAGGGACCTCATTTGCATGTGCACGCAGCGACCATACCCGCCATACCAAGTACAGCATTGCTTAACCTCTGGCTTTCTGTCTCTCTTCCTCTCCTTTCTCATTTGACCTGTCGAGCTCGAACCCTTGCGAGGGATGTAGGTCGGTCTTCGTTGCCCGACAGTAAGACTAGGCTGTCCATCTCCTGCATAACATTGTTATGGGCCGCAAGAATGTGGCCCATCCGGACGACAGTTATGACACCCCTCAAATCGAGCGTGTCTCCTCCCTCTGCACATCCTTAGGCCGTCGTGTAGGGCCCGCAACCCGCGAGTTGGAGATCACCAAACATGAGGCGGGCTTGACGTGAGACTCTGCTACGGGTACACACCGTGGTGGTCAGACTAAAAGAAGCAGGTATACCACCGAGGGAGAAGAAACCAAAGCACACACATCTCTTTCACTAAACAAAATGATCCCATCTCAATGACATACCGTTAAATCCTTGTTGTGGACGATGGGTGTCTTGCCGTATGTATGTTATAAGATACGCGTCGATCCAATGACTGCTCCCAATTCCGACGTGACAACATGAGGAAAGGGGAAAGGAAAAGGGGAGAGACTCGCAGCCTCGCAGCCTCGCGCACCCCTTTCATGCTATGTTCATCTCAACAGCCTCCAGCTGCACTGTTACCAGGTCGAGCCGCACATCAAGCCGCGATAACAAACACCAGCTGCCTACAATCACGAATGTCTTCTCTTGGAAGGGCTGATCTTGTTGTCACTCGGTCGTCCACCCATTCAATCACATCACACGAACAACGAACAGCGAACGACCGAACGAACGAACCACTGCCTTCGAACCCCCGGAGCTTGATATTGAGATTGAGGTTGCCGCCCGCCAATCATCTCGATTACAGACGTCCTCCTCAAATCCTTCACCACACTCAACATGCCCTCTACAACTGCGAGCCAGGATCCCTCCAACCCCAAGAAAGGCGTTGAGACGCCTTACTCAACCGCGTCTGGAGGCGGCGATGCCACCACCCCCACCACCACCGCTGGGCTCATTACGCCTGCCAACATCGATGACACGCCCACGCGGGCTGGGGATAATCACTCCAGGACTTCGCGTGAGTGCCACGGCGCCATAATCGCCTGGGGCAGTACTTCGGGAAAACTGTACCTCTCGGGCGGGGACCTCAACGAACCGAATGTGACGGCTAGTCTTGCGGCGCTTTTCACCGGTGTGGGCAAGGCGACCACCACCAGGGATGGAAATGCAGGGGATGGCAATGGTGGCGGTGGTTGTGGTAGTGAGGAAAGGGAAAGCAGTGCCGATTCAATCGGCCCCTCTGCTTCTGACCCCGTCATTCCTCTTGTTCTTCCTCTTTCCCTCACCCCCTCTCAATCTACCATGAGAAGGAAAGAGGCGCTTACGCAACCCAACCATACATACGCCACAGAATACTCGGTACACAATACACAACACAGCGAACGAGTCAGCTGACCTGCATGAAGCGAACCAAACCACGAGCACTCCTAGGGATCCACAGGGGGAGGAATTCTCGGCAGCGAGTGAATCAAACTTTGCAAGGCTCTGCGCTCTTTCTCACAGATAGATGATACCGGGATCAATCAATCAATCAATCACACACACCATCACCCTCACACGTTCTCTCACACTGTCAACCACACACATATGAGAAAAGGTTTCTGATTTGGCCCCTCGTTTACAGGCCACGGCATATATTGACTCTGATTCCAGCGCCACGCAATAAGGCTGGTTGACCCTCTACAGAGAAATTAGAGACTAATTACTCCCCCTACGGACTGGGGCTGGGGCTGGGACTGGGACTGTGCAGAAAAAGAACGTCTCGGGCGTCCATCTCTCAAGAGACGGGGATCAGGCCTGGACAAATACTAGGTAGTCTCGGATTGACCCCTGCTTACAGCGCCACCAAGCGCTACAGAGGCATGAAGCAATGGTACAACTTGTAAACCTTTTGTTGCAGAAATCTTGGTATGCCCGTTTCCCTCCCTGGTACACCAAAACATATCGTGGCATTCATTCGTTTCACTCCGTCCTAGAGCAGCAGGCAACATCCCGCTGACGCCTCCAGCTGCACGCCCATTATTGCTGTCACAGATCTCTCAAGGTCTTCCCGCTCTATTGGACGACCTGACTGTTGACGGCCTGAGCTTGCTCCACGGTCAATGGCTTGCCGCCCATCTCGGTTTCCTGGTTGTCGATATTATGATAGTCAAGGATTTCAGAGTACATCATAATCTTCCACGTGTCCACCGGAAGGTCGGCATCGTTGAACGACCAGTCGAACTTCTCGTCTGCGACTGGCTCATCGGTCGGATCGTGATATGGCGAAAGATACTCGTGCTCCAGGCCACCGGCTGCTGATACTCGTTTCTTGGGGTCGAAAACCAACATCTTCTCCAAAAGGTCGACGGCGGAAGGGTCGGCATTCTTGAATTTCGCACTTAGGGGTTGCCGTTCTCGCTTGGGCAGAGATTGGACAAATCTGAGGGTGTTTTCGCTGCAGATGGTCTCGATCACGTCCTGGGGAGGAGTACCAAGCAGCTCGGTGATGATGGAGAACTGGTTGACGTGATCTTTGCCTGGGAATAATGGTTTCCCTTCCAACATCTCAGCGAAGATGCACCCAGCGCTCCAGATGTCCACCTCGACGTCGTATTTCTGCCAGGTAAGCATAATCTCAGGGGCTCGATAGTACCGGGTTGAGACGTATCCAGTCATTTGAGGGTCCTGGATACGAGCCAAACCAAAGTCGCAGATTTTGAGGTCGCAATTCTCGTTGACCAGGATATTGCTTGGCTTCAGATCTCGGTGGACGACGCCAGCCGAATGGACATATTTGAGGCCTCGCTGCACGTGATGCTGTCAGTGATCCACGCATCGGAGACAAGTTCCGGGACATGTACATACCAGGATTTGATAGAGGAAATATTGGATGAATTGCTTCTCAAGCGGTCTTGAGGTCAATAGGCGATGGAGGTCAGTGCCCAAGAGTTCGGTCACGAAGTAGCTGGGCTCAACATCAGCATTTGGGCGCTTGGGGGAAATGGTGCTGATTCGGCATACATGTCTTCAAGCGGGGAGATGAAGATATCGCTGAGAGAAATGACCTGATAGTTCAGTATCATCAAAGACCAATTAGGGGTTCTTTCCAGCTCACATTCTCATGCCGAAGGTGTTTCAGCAGTTTGAGTTCTCGATAGGTGCGTTTTGCGAGCACCGGTGTAGAGAACGGCTTCATAATCTTCTTGACCGCCACCGATTGGCCTGTCAATTGATCTTTGGCAGAACTTGCAGACTGTCAGTTCGGAGGTTTCAGATGTATCTTCTGGAACAGTGCTCACCAGACAAGACCAAAGGCTCCCATGCCCACGGGTTGCAAGTCTGTGTACCTGGCTTCCAGTCAGCTGCGCGTGTCTTGCCACCAATATGCTTTTTCTGCCTACCTGCTGGTGATCTCGAATGTTGTCCCAAATATCTGGGCTCGTACGAACTCCGCCATCTTGATAGAAATCTAGTTGAGCAGGGCCAAATCTCGGAGAGCAGTGGAGGGGTGGTCTTGGATTCGCGATAGCGTGAGTGGTCGCAAGAGATCGCGACGTGCGTAAAATGTGAGAGTAGAGTGACGACCGGCTCAGCCAGAGACAAGAGACAAGGTGAAACGAAAAGCTCAAGTACGGGAGTGGCGGTTTGGAACTTCGGGATGTTTCAGGTATCCTGAAAATCGCAGTTAGAAAGGCACGAAAGGGAAGGGAGACAGGAGTGCGGCGGACACCAGGGAGCACGAACCTGAGAGATGTGACTGGCGCAACCGATGGATATTATAACATTCAATGTCTGGTACTGGTGACTGTAGCCAGTTTCACTACTCAGGAAAACTTGTCGTGGTGGTAGGAACAATGGCATATGAAAAGAGCAGAGCAACTGGAAGCAATAGCGGCGGCGGGCAGCAGCAACAGCAGTAGCCAGCCAGCCAGCCAGCCCAGCGTGGGGCAAACCAGTTTCCCGCCTTCTGGCTCCTCGATCGGGTCAGTTCTGGGTTACTAAGTAAAGGCTTGATGGTGGTAGTGGCACCTAACCAAATACCTAGTAACGGTTGGAGTGGCTTGAAAAGCCCTCCTTTTGGCTGTGAGGATGCCCACAATGCCCGCTTAAAAGATGACAATCGCAATCACCCATGCCCCCCAAAGCCCTCCTGGTGCCCCTAAGCCCAACTTCCCATCTACAAGTATTATTTTGTACCGTGTAATCCGTTTACCCCTCCATCCTCACTCCCACCTAGGCAAGTCAAGCAATTCAGCGACGTCGTGAACCATCCCTCCAATCTCATCCAATCTCATCCCAGCCACTTCTGTGTGACGGTGGTACTTTCTTCCGTCGACCCAAGGCCGGAGAAATCATCCAGCTGGCACTTTTTACACCTCCAGGATGTCCGCAGGCGATTTCGATTCCAAACCTGCCGGACAACCAGAGGTTAGTCAGATCGCTCCACCCTCTGGCTTTTCGATTTCAGTCGATGTTCCCGATCCATTTGCAGCCCACGAGCAGAAAGGTACAACTCGGTTTGTCAAGCCCGTCGCGGATCCCGTTAATAATCGATGATCTCACCCACCCTGTTTCTCCAGTTAAGTTAGAACCATCAGGCCATTGGAATAACACAATCAATAAAACCCGAACCCTCACGCACTCCAGTCACGTGGAAGTACTGATTCAATCTCAGCAATAACACTCGAGGCTCGCCTTTTTCACAACTGGATTTCATGGAAGATGGTGACCCAGCTCTACTCTGCCGTTGCCCGCGTCTCCTAGCACTCCTCGGCCTCAAGCGCGACCTCAAGCAAAGCGTCTAATATAAGACGAGCGTCGCTATCCTCCAATCAAGTCAACAAGCCTTTCATATATGTCCGGAACCAGGAGTTTCTAGGCAACAACATCATAAAATGGGCCATCCAATAATAAGATATGTAAAATTGAGCAATACTACAACATAAGGACGTAGGGGTGCTGGGGGTGACACCCATGTCTATCAAAGACACGGAGCCAACTACCTATCCACTGCTTGGCCAACATTGATGTGTAGAGCCTTGGCATTGATTCATTATCATTTCTTGAGTAATGTTCTATTGCTGAATGGGCAAGGGGATCGAGGCATTACTCTGACACCATCTCGCGAATTGTTGACTGGGGTCCCATGAGATCTCGTTGTGGTACGTATAGATGGTGGGCTCGCAAGAAAGCGCCTCGGCTATTGACCACTGACCTCCAGCACACAGCTGTGTAGGCGAGTGTTCAAAATCCGGGTGGTCAGTCTTTGTATTGGACGTCCATCTTTTGCCATGAGAGCTGAGACTGCGCCTATGTCGGTCGTTCTGGTAGATTAAGGGGGCGAACTTCGAGGAGTTGCGCATTTTCCCCAAGAGTCAGGGGAGGACACCTTGACGGAAGATTCGGCACAGAAGAAAAATCAAAGTCCGCGACAGTCAAACCCAGACTTGTTGTCCGTCGGAAATTTACCAGTGGACAGTGGTTTGGTAAAGGGGGACAACAACTTCTGCTGCTCTACCTATAAAATGATGAGCATTGACGACATCGTGTCCGGGATCCAAGTGCACGCAGGCTCTGTCATGTGCTGGCGACGCTGATCTGACAAATTTCCAGCTAAGCCCTGGTCCAACAGGGCGCCAGGGCGGTGTCAAGCGATGAGGCTGTCTGTCAAACTGGAGAATTCAAGTGCTCAGAGTGGAAATGGGATGGTTCTGGATGGTCTTTGGAGTAGCGAGTAGACCCAGAAAACCTCGTGCAACACAATCGTTTCTTTTGGCTTAGGTGCCATCAGCCTATGGAGGGGATAGCCATGTGGCGGACCCTGGCGTCTCGACGATGCTGGTTTTCTGGAGCGGCTGATGTCTGTCACGTTGCTGGGCGGAAGCGGTGTCTGACATGCAAAGTATTGGCGAACACTCGCACTCAGGGCATTCTAGGACAGAGGTCATTTGTACGGAGAGAAATTAAGACACGACTGGATGGTGGATTGGGGACAGAGACAAAATACACAGCCGTGCCTGCGTGCCTAATCTGCCTGACCAATGTGTCTTGTTACCCCTACTCGGGACGAGTAACTCGTAGATGAGACAGAAGCGGCCCTGGTGGCCCAGCACGATTATTAGTTGATTGACCTTGGGGGGACCACGGGGACCTAGGGGAGTGCCTAGTGAGCCTGGCCACTGGGACTTTAGCCCACCAGTCTGTCCTCGGTACCCCTAAGCGTGCCTACCCAACTATTCGGCTACTCCGCTTAAAGCTGGAGGTTCTGGCTGGCATTGGCACAACTGCCACTTACTACTGCCAGCGCCAGCCAGCACAGCTCCTCGTAACTCGCTCTCGCACTCGCACTTGGGTCCTTGTTCTCCACGATCGGCCCATTCCACCCTCTCGTCAGCTGGCGACTACTTCATTGG